GGGCAGGAATAAAAAAAAAGAGAGAGGGAAAGCAAAAAAAAGCAGGCGGTGGCCACATTCCATAAGCATACAATAGACAAAGTTGAAATGCAATTGAAAAGTTGGCGAAAAGCAAAAAGAAAATCCAACGGGGAGTTGGATGAATTCGTGTCCCGAGGCAGCCACAAGAAAATGTCATAAATGTTGACTCACTGCCCTGCGTGACTGTTAATGTATGTGTGCGTGCACTGCGAAAAAAACAATATCTCATGATTGCTAAAATTATATTTTAAAAGTTCTTTCTTATATTTTTATAAGCAGACTATAACATTTTTTTTAATGGAAATATATTAATTAAAGTCAATTATTATTAATATTTATTTATTCTGTGACAAAATGATATTACAAAAAGCCATAATCTTTTAATATTTGTTTCGGTGTGGTGAAAGTCTCGCTAAATTCATATGTAAAACTTTATTGAGGGCAGAGCGAAAGGGTGGAGCAGTTGGGCAAAAGGACGCGGGGCGGGGCTGCAACTGCAAAGCTAACAAATTAACAGCCTGGATAAAGAAGAGGGCGTGGCAGGAGGTGGGCGGAAGGGAGTGTAGAAAGTTTCCTGCAACCGGACAAGTTTAACAAAAGTCTTAACATATTTTCGTAATCCAAAAGTTTACTACAAATGCGACTTAATTGTTGGTGAGCGTTACCATGTTCCGCCAACGCTTTTCCCACCTCCTTTGCGCTTTCCCGCTTTTCCCTCTTTCCCCGCTTTTCCACCCAGCACACCCCACCGTAAACAAAAGCCCGTAGAAAACCCAAAAGAAATTTGCTGTTGATGATGTTTTGCGCGCTTTTTATTAAGTGATTAAAAGAGAAAGCAAAATAAAGAAGGAAACTCGAAAAAGAAAGTTGAGACTAAGCTGCAACCAAAAAAATAAAATAAAGAAGGGGAAAGTTGTCAACTTGATGAGAGATTCCCTAGAGATTTGAAATTCCCCGGGCGTTAAGTAGGAAAATTAATACTTGGTTGGAAAAAGATAGGAATTTTGCTTGTTGCGTTTAGTGATTATCGGTAGTCGACTAATTGGATGAAGCAAAAAGATATAATTGTTCGAATATATTTCCTAAACATTTTTGAAAAACGAATGAAAAGCTTGCCGTTAAAATATATTAAAACAAATAATAAAATTATATGTAGAAATGTGGTTTTCTTAAAATAAATAGTTTAATTAAAAACGTAATATTTTCCTTACACCTGTATGAAAGTGTACTTAAGCATAAAACTAATTGAATTTTACTGAGCCATTTCTGCAAGCAGTTCACTGATTTTAATAAATTCTGACTGGCCATGGAACCTTAATTAAAAATAAATGGGGTGCATTCAATTGAAAGTCCCATTTAATGAGCAAAAATTAACTTAATGGTATTTTGTAATGTAGTTTTTCAAACTTTAAGCTTAATTTATTTCATTTTTGATTTATACAGGGTTAAAAGTACTGATACTGTCTAACTAATTGCTAAGCATTAAATTTCCGTATTTCCCTGTTGAAGTGCCGGCTGGGTTTTGTGTGGTAATCGATAATTAGAGTTCACAATTATAGTTAATTGTGAGGTGGCTTCGCAATCAAGTTTGAATGCTGAGTACATGGCGAGTGCCAATTAAAGGACTTGTTTTCAAAGGACTTACGTAAACGATAGCAACACACTCAGATTCCTGGACACCACGGACAATGTGTTCAAGTCAGCTCCTTTTCATCCTATCTCCTCGCCACTTTCTCCTCGACACTTTCCCCCCTCTTTCCCCCTTTCTCAACGTCTGAGAGTGTTCGATTACAGTTTTGGTTTTTCGGTTTTCGGTTACGGCCTTTCAATTTGGGCTCTGACTTGGTCTTAAGTTGACTCGAGATGTAAGTGGTTTGCTCAACTTCATCACGCCGCCTTGGATCGTCGTTGCCGGAATCAATAAGTGTGTGTGACATTTGTGTCACATTTATGTCGAATTCTGAGGCATTAATGTGTCCTGCTTTATGGCTTGGTCATAGTTCGTGTCCGTGTTCGTGTTGTTGCTGGATCCCCTTCCATTGTGGATGCCGTCGTTATGTCCGTATTTATTACGGCAACTCAACTGACACGGCAGTGCTGATGTCCAAAAAAAGGGGCACTCCGACACTGACAAAAAAAAAAGAAAAGCATATCCTATAGGAAGCCAAAAAAACAAAATAAATAAAACCCAATGAAGTTTTTAGGATTTATTTTGAAGGTTGTAAAGTTATCACAACGTTTGTGCTCAATTCAGAATGGTTTTATGCACACAATCCTTTTTATAAAACTCATAGTCTGTTAATTTAAAAATGCATTCATTTTTGAAATGCAATAACTAATTTAGTATTGGTTTTATTTGTTGTTAATGGAAAGTAAAGAATTTTATGGAGAAAACATGACTGCAAGCAATTATTTATTTACTTATTAAAAAAATAAATTATTATATAGTTTTATTAATATAAATCTTATTTATGTCATTGGTCCATATAAATAGCTATTTTATATGTGACTTTGGAACAGTTTTATATTACAGCATGCTATAAATAATGATGATGGCCATGTCCCATAAAAGTTATTCAATTAATTGTTATTATTCTCTCTGTGTTTTCGCCTACAAAGACATTTTCATTTGTCTCCGGCTCTGATTTTCTGCCTCCCAAAAACACACACAAAATGAAGACATAAAAACTTATGAAATCTTTTCCTGGCAACTGTCACCAAATGCGATTATCCCGACTGATATTTTATATTGGAGAGGGAGAGGGGGGCTAGTTAATAAATAGTTTGACAGGATACAAGATTTAATGCGACTCCTTGATGGCTTTTATCGATTGATTGTCGGAAGAAAAACACGCCTGAATATTTCGCAGCACAATTACGGATTGCATTTATGGCTGGCCAAATGGTTTTATTGCATTTTTGGGCCCCTCAAGGATATGCAGATCCTACGAATTCGAGTGCCGATCCTTCGATTGGCCTGGCCACTTGGCCCGGCAATCCACTTTAATCGCCGTCAATGGTTGTGCCAACAGTTTGGATAATCCCGTAAATATTTATGCGCAGTTTGGCCCAAAAGCGGATGGCAGAAGGACAGCAGCTGATGACAACAAAGACATAAATGCTTTTACTGTTAACTCGACTCGAAAACTCGACTATGGGCCATGCCAAGAATCGATAGCTGTCGTGAGTTCCGGGCCAGGGGGAAATTAAGGGAGGGCCCCCAACTTAATGCCCATGTTGTGCTAACATCCATGTAATCCGTCGAGAACTTGGGCATGTTCCTAAACTCACATAAGTACTTGGTAAGGATTAACATGGAACAAATGTATTGGAAAGTTGGGATTGTTTCATCAATTTTATTTGTGTTTTCGCTAGTCAATTGGAAGCCAAGATTTTGACTTCGGTTTACAGCACTTTTATAGTTTTGAAATCTGTTAAAAGAAAATTGTTAAGTTATCAGCTTAGAAGTTAAACAAATCAGTAAAATCGCTGCTATATATTTGGCTTTTAAATAAAACTTGGATTGAGGAATATATTAGTTTCTTTAGAAAATGCCAAGCCATAATTGGGGGGCCCTTTTTAAATGTTTGTAAAAATTTTTGAAAATTAAAAAGCCTGGCTGTGCCCTCTTATGTTTATTTATTAACACATGTTTGAAATTAGCGATTTGATTTAGCGATTGCATGCTTCTTAAAACTTGTTTAGGGGTGCTCTTTCTAAATTATTTTAAATGTTTTTAAAAATTTAAAAGCTTTTTTAAAAAGATCTGTGCTTTATTGAGTTTGCTTAATTTTGTTAGAAATTCAAGCACATTCTGAACACGGTCATTTGCGAGCACGGAATAAGCCAAAGAAGAGAGCCACAGCTGCCGACATTCTGTCGCTGTCACGATTCTGGCCAACTCCTTTTGGCCAGGACGGGGGGTGGAGACAGGGAAAACACGCAGGAAAACAGAAAAACACGTAAAAACAGAGTAGACCAGACCAGACCAGACCTGAGCAGACCAGACCATTCCAATACCAGACCAGGCCAACGGGCATTGGTCAAATGTGGCCGAGGCCGAGTACGTGTGCGGCTGGCCATTTGGTATTTGGTATTTGGTATTTGTGGACAGGACTGCGTCGACCGTTTTGGCATTGAAACAAATTGAAAAGTTGCGTTTGTCCGTGAAACTGCACTGAGCGAGAAAGTGGGCCCTTAATGGGACATGAAAGCGATACTCCGGAACTCCGGTACTCGGCCCGGCCAATTATACCACGTCCCACACTTTTGGTCTGTCAATAACTTCATTTCCGGTACAACGTGATTTAATTAACGATTACCATGTGTTTCCCTGTCCCCCCGATGGCCAATTTTTGATGTAACAATTAAGTGGTTTTCCTTGTGCGTGCTGGTAGCATTTTAACCGACCGCACGATAACTGCAGGAGTGGGACGTAGAACGTGGCTGGTCAGGGGCACTTCGATTTGGGGCCTGCCTTCCACACACTGCTCGTGTGTCCAGCTAATTCCGCATTAATTTCGCGCTCTGATCGGCATACAAATGCGCCCCTTACGCTTCCATTAGCCGCTCGGCTGCATTTTGCATGCATCGGCCAACTTTTCCACTTGACCTTGCCAACGCCAACGCCAACGCCTTAAACCACCCATAAATCTGGGCAAATCATGGTTGCGTTTCAAACGAATGGGTTGGGTTACCATCCTTTAATCATTCAAACAGTTTTTTTTTAATTCAACTCCTTTGATTAAAAACTATACTTACGCTTTATTGCTTGAAATAAAATATATTTTTCTCTTATTCTCCCATTTAGCTAACAGCTTTTTCTGTATATTTCATTTGGTTTTTATTTTTCTTTATACCTTTTATTTTTGTTTTATACATATTATATTTTAACTTCACAAAAAAAATATTTGTTCTTTTTAATTAAGTGTTTTCATTTTCATTTTTGTTTTTTGTTTTTTTGGTTTTCTTTTTTTGTTTGTTTTTGGTTCATGCAGTTTTGCATTTAAACGACATTTTTGTTAGTTTTGAAACAATGTGTTTGTTTTTATTGCATGGAAAGTTTGTTCGTTTGGTATTATCATTTAAAATTTACACCAAAAAAGATCAGCTATGTTTACAACTAGTGTACATTAGTATATTTGTGTATATACTGGTAAGTTTATCAATTTGTAATTGTGTTTATAACGTGGCTCAATCGTTTGGCCCAGAAGATGTACATCGATCGATTGATAACACTGGAAATTCTCTTAGTGGTTTAAAAACGTCGTTCGTCCGATAACAATTCGGTTTTTGATATACTTCCGTAGGCCTTCTGAATTTCCTGCCCCCATAAATGTCGCACTTAGGCCTTTGCTATGACATGTATTTTCTGCTCTTTGTTTTTGTTTTTGTTTTTTTTTTTCAGTTTCTCAACACATAGTATATCGCTCACAAATAAATGGTTAATACAGTTTATACATTTACAACTGAAAATTCAAGTGGTTCTCTAAAACGAGAGTTTTTCAATAGCTTCAATACTTTTTCAATACTTACTTTCATTGGTAAAATTTGATTTCAACAGCTTATAAATTAGGAAAAAACACACATTCTATATGCATATATTTCTTTGTGTTTACAATTATTTGCATTTCTCTAATCTTTAAGGCTTAGGCCTGGAAAATACTTGCAACTTGGTTGGCAATCCTCCAATTTATCAATTTTATCCGTTTTTCTGTTTGTCTCTGTCAATTTGCCAACATTTACATTTTCTTCGGTTTTCGTTTTGTTTTGTTTGTTTGTTTGGTTTGAAAATTTGACACTTTGTTTTTGAAATAGATTTTGCATTAGTATTTGATTGCTAATTCACACACAGATAGTAGTTAGTAGATAGTAGATAGTAGATAGAGATAGAGAGAAGTGAACTCCTAGAGAGAGGGAGAGAGAGGGGGAGGGGGGTGTTGTGTGTTTGTGTAGGTGTGTCAATCTGGGGTGGGAGGATATTATATGCGTTATATTGCACTTCGGGGGCTCCTGTTCGATATTGTCGTGCCCAAGATCAGTTCGATCATATATACTTCATACATATAGTATATGCAGTGGGAAACCAATAGTTCGAAGGATCTAACATTGAATAACCTTGAAAGTGGGCAGAAAATCGATAACATTTATCCAAAAATAATACAGTTCTTCTTTGACAACAACGACAGCAACAGTTTTGTATATGGCTTTTATTTATTGGACTCGGTTCTTTGTCTATTAAGAAAAAGTTTTATTGTTTTTGAAAGCTTTTTGTGGGTGTTTCGGCTAAGGTACAAATTTCCTACAGGTTCAATCTAAGTGGAATAGAGTTTTCGTCAGCTTCTCTGTTCGTTTGTTCATGTTATTCGGTATTCCTCTGGAAGACTACAGCTAAGTACACAGCTATGTATTTATAGGGTTTAAAAATGCAACAATTACTTTGAGTTTAGAGTTAATATCGAGAAAGATTTGTAGTTGGTTTAACGGCGAAAAAAACCACTCACTAACTATGTACAACGAGATGTCCAATTAACCATTTTCCATTTATCTATTTCTAATAGTTCTCTGTTCATTTTCTGTGTGTCTCTTAGTTCTAGCTACAAAAAATTACAATTACACACCTATTCATGTTGATAAACACTGTATGCCTTGCTTATATATATTTTTGTGTATATGTATGTAAATATAATATGCATATACAGCGGATATCGGTTTATGCTACTTCTTTGTTTGCTGTGGTCCAATTTCTGATTCAAACTTTTGTTTTATTTGATTTAGCTTGCACACTCGCACACACACAACAGGCACACACACCAGATTTATATAGTATAGTACACATTTAGCTAGCCGTCTTGATGACATTCCATCATTGTCACTAATTTGCTAATGGAGAATATATGGCAACAACAATGCGCAGAAACAATACACTCAACATTACGCATACGCCCTGGGGAACGCTTCTCTATTTCTCCTTCCCTTTGTATTTGCATTGGGGCTATTATTTTGATTTACACATTTATTTACCTAAAGACGCTTGCTTGCGTGTGTGTGGGTGTGTGTGTCGTGTGCCTACATATACATATTTCGAATAGAAAGTCAAACTGGTTCCAATTAAAGGTAATTAGTATCTTTTCTTGCTATTTCCTGTTCGTATAAATATAGTTTCTGTGTTATTTAAATTTCTCTCTATATATGTTTCATTACATCGTTAAGAGTAAGTTTTTAGTTTTAGCTTAAGTTTCATTGTGTAAAGCTTTCGTTTCGTACATTTTCAATTTTCAATTTTCAATTTTCAATTTTCAATTTTCAATGGGGGTTGTGTTTTAGGCTGTGTGTACTCACACATTGTCAATTTTTTGTTTTAAGGGTGTGGAGCAAGCAGTGGCACTTCCGGTGCCACCATGTACTTACACTTGAAAACTGCTTTAAATGCAACCCAGCCAATTATGCAGATAAAATCGAGTTGTAGTTGGCCTTTCCAATTTTTCCGGACATTTTCGGTATTTTTACAGTTGCACAAACATATCCATAATTGCATATTTATGGACGTGCGGTACCTAGATTTTTATTTTGGCAGATTCGCGTTGTCTTTCTCGCTACGCATTTCATTTAGTTTCTATGCAAATTTCTGCATGCGTGTGGGTGTTTATTTAAGCGCGCGCGTGTGTGTGTGTGCAGGACAAGATGAGAAAAAGAAAGAGAGAGAGAAAGAAAAAGAGAAAGAGAGAAAAGAGAGAGAAAGAGAAGGGGAGAGATAGAAAGCAGATATTTTAATTGCCATACACGAATTTCAATTCCCATGCGTTTGCAACCTTGTTTATTTTGTGTGTGTGTGTGTGTGTGTTTGTGTGCGTGTGTATGTGTATGTGTCTCCTTGGTGTGTCCAATGTGGCATAATGAAAACAACAACAAAAGCATGTCAAGCAATAACAGTTAGCAAAAAAGTTAACGCTCAGCAAGTTTCACAACATATCGAAGAACACGAATTTCAATGTGAAATAATGCAAATGGAATGGAATTTAATGACGGCATATTACATTTATCCAACAAAGTAGAAAGCAGCTTTCAATTAAAACCAAACTCTACCTTTGTCTATTTTCCCCCGCAACTTGTTTATTTTTCGTACGAAAATTCGGCTTTCAATTTGCATTTCAATGACATTGGAGTTTTTGTTAAAGCAAAATATTTTACAGCCCGAAATTGGCCTGTTTGTTAATCGGCATATATGTTTTTTTAAATTCTTTCTTTAATATGATTTCTGAGTATTACAGAATGTTATTATCAATGCGGCAGCGTTTTTGTTTTCGGTTTGGGTCTGGACAATTTCAAAGTGGGGCATTGAAGATAGTGAATATTGGTTTGTTAACACGTTATCTCTCTAGATCTCCCAGTACACACACACATCCAAAACACACCCACGCACTTTAAACATAATACATGGAAAGTTTTCTTTTGAGCAATGTTTTCCCACAAATATTGTTTAGCCCTCCATTTTGTTATTAAATTTTTAATGGTTTTTGTTGTTTAATATACTTTGTTTTTCCATCACAGCTAACGTCAATTTATATAACTCTAGGACATCTAACAACATTTCTAAGAAGACTTTTCTGGGCACAAATAATAGGATACAAAGAAACATAAAGTAAAATGTTGAATGCTTTTCATATATTTTCATTTTTGGTTCATTTTCACTTACATTTTCTATAGATTTAACTGTATTTAAGACTATAACACATTTGACAGTTTGCAACAACAATCGATACACACAGAGAACGTTTTAAACTCTTTATAACTTCATTTGGCTAATTATAGTACAAACAATAGGGCAAATCGGAACTTAATGCACATATACAGTAGGGTGGATCTCTGTTTATAATTGAGAATTTTTTATTTTGTAAATTCTTTTGACAAAAAAAAAATGTATTTACAATTATGTGTTTATGATTTTTTTTTTTGCATTTTGTAATTCCTTAGGTAGAACATAAAATAAAACAAAACAAGAACTTTTAGGTTAAATTTAATTTTCTAAAATCCTTTTCCAGAATTTAGAAAAGCTGATGAAATTTATAAAAGAGAGGCGTTAAGTTTATTGGAGCTAAATCAATTTTTTTAATATTTTGAATTGTTCAATATTAACCGCATTAATTTTGGAATAGAACAAAAATCATATGTTTTCATTTTAAATTATTGTGTAGCCAATTTTGAGCTAAGAGATCCACCCTGAAAAACACACATATAATACATATAAGCATATATATATATATTGTATACATATATTTAAAACACCGAATCGGGAAAGCGTTTCTATTGGGGCTGCCATAAAAGTCCGTGGAGCTTTGAAAGAGCTCATAGATGTGTGATAGAAGTACTTTGCTTGGGGCAAACCATATCACACATATCACACACCCTTGCAAGTGGTTTCAAGGACCCAAAGACATTTGCAGTTCCCACTGGATGTGTGGTATATACTTGTTATAGGGGACTTTGATTTGGGTGACTGGATGACTGGGTGGCTGGGTGGCTGGGTGACTGGGTGAGGATACTCACTGCTCACCGCGATTAGCAGGAGACACCCTGCTTGGCCACCGTGTACCAGGTGCTCACGGTGACCAGCGACGGCGAGTCGGGGGTGGTGGGCGGCGGTGGCTGCTGCGGATCGACCTCGACCTCGGCCCCGCCCACAATCACGTTCAGGGGTGGGAGGGGTGCTAGTTCGGAGGGCGGTGCTGGTGGTGCAGGTGGTGGTGCTGCTGCTGCTGCTGCTGGTGGTGCTAGTGGTGGCGGCTCTTTGGCTAATGGAGCAGGTGGTGGCAGCGCACGGGGCTTCCTCGGCCGCGACTTGTTCTTGGCCTTCTGAGACTGCGACTGGGGGTGGTGAAAGTGCATGGGCTGGGGGGTGTGAAGGTCGCGACCCACCTGCGGCCCCACCTGCGGACACCGGAAGCGGATGGCTTGCTCGTTGGCCACATTGATTTCCGGCCACCGCTGCTGATGGTGACCCTGATGGTGACCCTGATGCTGACCCTGGTGACCCCCACGCTGCTTGCTCTGATGGCGCTTCCTGCTCTTGCTGCGCTTGCGCGACTTGGACTGAGACTGCGATCGGCGGCCGGATCTGGGCTGCACCACCGATTGCGGTCTTTGGCAGTGCCGGCAGACAAAGGATCTGTAGTCCCCCTCAGAGTCCTCAGATTCCTCCGAGTCATGCTCCTCCTCCTCCTCATCCTCATCCTCATCCACATCCTCCTCCTCATCATCCTCATCCACATCGTAATAATTGGGCTTACGGCCCAGGACATTGCAATTGAGTGTGGTTCCAGTGGCCACCGAGGCGGTGGTGGTGCTGGTGGTGCTATCGCCATCCATGTCGATTATGTGACAACAGTTTTGATGTCTAGTGCTATGTGGTTGCTGCTGTTTTTGCTGTTGCTTGTTCTTCGTCTTGTGGTTGGACTTACGTTTATCTGGCTCCTGCTGGTTGTGCCGACGTTGCTGATGTTGCTGATGTTGCTGGTGTTGCTGGTGTTGCTGGTGGTGTTGCTGCTGGGCCAACTGCTGGTGTCGCCGCCGCCGCGGCACCGTGTACTCATCGCCCTTGTCCGTCGGATATGGTCAGAACGCTGTGTCGAACACGGACATCGACCGGGAGATGGCGTCGTCGTTGCGACAGGCCTCCAGGAACTCATCCAGCGTAACCACGCCATCGCGATTGGTGTCCATTTTCTAGGGGATATAAAGAGTACGGTACACATTTTTATTCGTTTATTTTTGAAACAGAAGCTTTATCTTTTGCTAATTAAAACAAATAAGGCTTTCTATGTCCTATAGAAATGTAATCAAAACTGGTGTCAAAGAAATGGTGTTAGAGAAATTTTGTTAACTAACCATGACCAAGAGTTTTAAACTTAGATTTATGTATTCATATTATAAAAACATATTGTTTAAGGAACTCCACAAATTCATTAAGCTTTTATTTTTAACATGTCTTTTACAACTCAGAAAGACATGCCAAGAAATTATTATGTGAAAAAAAGTAACTTAATTTGTGTTATTCATTTCTTTGCAATTCATAATTTCTTGAATTGTAATAGCAAAATACTTTGCTCTGAGTGCTTTACAAAAAACAGTGCAACTTGTCATTGGCGGACTGCTTGCGATTGGCACTGCTTTGACTTACAGCTTCCGCTTCCGGCAAGCAGAAGAGAGCTACGGAATTTTGATTTAGAGCGGCGGGCAGAACAACTTTCGGAATGGCTCCCGAATGATCCTGGCCATCTATTATCAATTTCACCCTCGCATGCCATTATTTAGGGGCGTTCGCCGTTCGCATTTGCTGCGCTCAATTTATTCCGAATGCCAACGACCGCTAATGACAACGCGTGACTGGCAAGCCAAACAGGACGATGTCCTGCGGATGGCGGATAGCGGACTCACTTCCATCCGTATGCCCAGCCTGAGTCGCTGGCCGGACAAATTGAAATAGACAATTTGAATTTGCATAATGCAAAGTAAATAAGTTTCATGTTCGCGAGTTAAATTCAAATTGTATGCGCGCAATTAGCATAAATAATGGTCGCGAATTGTCCGGAATTTGGGATTTCGAACGCGACTCACCTGAAAGATCTGTTCCACCTTGCCCTTGATCTTCTCCTCCTCTGGACACTCGTCGGGCAGTCGGCCCATCAGCTCGTATATGGCAGTTACAATGTCAGTCATTTCCTCCCTCGTGATGAAGCCGTCGCCATTGATGTCGTACAGCGAGAAGGTCCAGCGCAGCTTCTCCTCCACGGAGCCGCGCGACAGTATCGAAAGTCCTTGAACAAAGTCCTGTGACAGGAAGAGAAATAAGTTGGCATGAATGTGGGTGGGTGTGAGGTGTGCAGGTGTGAGGCGGCAAAGACGGCAAAGGCGGCAAAGGGCGGAGGCAGACAACCGGAATTACAGGTATAAAAGAAATTGAAAATATGTTTTAAGAAATTGCTCGTAAACCGCAGCGCCTAGGAGCAAGTACACCTGCGTTCAGTATAATAGTTAGCTCGAGTAATGTTCAATGAACTAGGTATGAAACAAATTTGTGATCTTCATCAAATTTTTTGTTGTTTTTATTCGTCGGGGCTTCCTATCATTTAAATAACCAACTAAAAAATAATTATAGTTATAAAAGAAATAATTGAACATTTTTATAAAAATCCTCTGACGCATACGATTTGTTTATAAATGCCTCTACATAAATCAGTTTAGCTTATATATATTTGTTTTGCCCAGTCTTGAATTTTATTTAAAACAATTATAATTATATTAAATAACCTATATTATTAAACAAATTTCACAAATTTTCGATTGGTTCCTTTGCTGTTTATTAATTATATTTTATAAGTTAGTCGATTTCTTTTTGTAGTTCTTGTAAAAATATTATTACTTTAACCGCAGCTGTGTATGTCCCCCAGCGCATTTGAAAGCCCACAGTCCTCACTTCCGGCTGCTGCTGTTTCTGTTTCTGCCGCTGCTGAAGTGGACATTTATTTCTATGCTTTGTATGACAAATGTACCTAGATAAGAACTTGCAAGGAGAATGGGAAAAAGTTTTTACGACCCCCGGGCCCCTTTTTCTTGGCTCCGTGAGGTGTTGAGGCATTTTGGGAAGGCCGCAGCTGACGGAGGACTGAGACCGAGTCTTGCTTTTGCATACCGAATGGGAGAAGTCCGGAGGAGCGAAAAACCGAACAAAAAATCCGCAAAGTAAAAGAGCATGAAACGTGGAAGTATAGTAATTTGAAGGGGGGGAAGGCAGGAGGAATAGGAATTGGAACAGAGGCATCATTTGTGTCTTGTTCTCTGGCCATTTGGGCAATTGCAGCGTCCGACTAATTTATCAAAACGAAAAAGAAAAGCAATAGCAATAGCAACAAAAAATTGTACAAAATTGAGACGAAAACGAAGCAAGAAACTTTCACGATTCGACGTGGACAAATTGCAGAGCGGCAAGCTGGCAAAACATGCTGGCAATTGAAAATTCGAAGTGAAGTTTGCACTCTGGCCGAGTGATTAAGCGGATCTATGATAGTTTTTGCCTGCTGACCAATGCTTTGCACTGCTTGATGGCAGTGGATTAGAAGCCAAGGAGACAAACGAGATATTCTGAGCTGCTCCTTGTGATGCCTAACAGCACAAAACAAATTTTTGACTGATTTCGGCTCAAGTTGATGGTCGCAAAAAGCTGGGATTAAATTCCTTGATTCGTTGGGAGAATTTTCAAAAAAGGAAATGGGATATGAGTTAGCTATTCAGTCAACTACTATTTATCGATCTCATTCATGGGAAAATGTGTAAATATCTTTCTAAGAAATAATTTTGACTAATAATTTATATGTTTATTTATTAATGTTTCGCCAGCGGAATATTTACACAGTTTATGGAACTGTTTTACTACGGTAAGAGGTTTGTATGATTAAGAAACACAAATCATTTGGAAATTTAAGCAATAGCATATTCATTACAATTTTAAACTTCTGTATTCATTTCTCATAAAAAATAAGTTGCCACTAGTTTATAGTTTCGTTTTTCAAGGTTTGTTTAAGTGATCAAAACAAACTGCTTGCTGGCAGCAATCAAGTGTCATGTTAACCTGGTTGCTTTGCTTCACTGCTTGCTTGCCAAAGGGTCCTTTTCGCAATCCTTTCTCCGCAGTTGCCAAAGAGTCCTGCTCCTAGCTCCTCATAGCTACTGCTCCCAACCTCCCCCTCCAATATGTTTTTATATTTATTTCAACCAACCCCCTCCCCTCCCCTCCCCACCCATCACCCTTCCCGACAGCCGCCACTCGATTGCTTTTATCTCGCACACTTGAGCAATTTATCTTTTCTACCAGCGCAAACAGGTCACACACTCTTTGCCATTCTACCCCTGGCATATTGGCCCTGCCCACAATTTCAATATGGCCGTGAGAGGTTCGCTGTTACCCTGTTTTTGCCATTACTTCTGACGTTCTGCCGCTGTTCCACTGTTCCACTCCTGTTGGCAGTTTAATAAACGCGACTGTCATGCAAATCGCGCATAAAACACCTAGCAACAATATGTGGAACTTAATTGAAAAGCGGAAGTCTACTTAGTCAGACCGTCACACACAAAACTAGGGAATTACAGCTGGGTTAAGGGGACGGGGGGTGCCTGTACGGTGGCTTTAAGGCTGGGGGCATCATGGGTTAAGGGCGCTTCTTTGTACATGCTTTATATCGAGTACGTGCCTCGTAGTCATTACAATTTTGAGGTCATTATTCAACAACGAAAATGGCGAGCAGGCAAAAAGGCAAGAGCTCGCAAAGATAAGCTGTCGGGCGGGGGGAAAAGCGGAATATTCAGGGATATGCTGGGAAATGCCGGGAAAAGCCACGGGTGGGGAGGGAAAAAAGGAAAACCGGAGTGTTCAGAGATGGACGGCTGACGTGATTGCGATTATTCCTTGCCAGACACTCGTGGATGTAAAGCTGGCTGACCTGCAATATTGATTTGTAAATTGCACTTCAATGTTCATAAATGAGAGCGAAGGCTTGCAAATTATGCAATGAAATATTTATATATCCACAGCTTGCTCTTCCGACTTGCTTGTTTAAATCATCAAATATGCCAATTTTCTTTTAAATTGAGAAAATGTATAAATCATACACTGTTTAGGGGAAAATATATAATTGTGTTTAAATAAAATTGTCTGTATAACTAAAATTAAATTAATCTCTCTTGAGTAAAAAGGTTTGATATAAATTAACATATAAATTTGATTTTAGTTTTTGAAAAACGGATAACATACTAATCTTTTCAAAGTTCTATAAGCTTTTTATGAAATTTCATTTTTTTCGTACGGTTTTCAAACTGTTTGAGTTATATATTTTTAATTAGCCTTCAAATTTGTTAAAATTTAATTTAATTATTTAAAATTATGAATTCATAGTTTTATATAGTAAAAGTAAATGTAAGCAATTAGCTTAGAGTGGATTTTTAATTCTGAATTTAATTCGGTCAAGTTTTGGGAAAATTGCAGGTTTTTCTGCCGTGTCACGCTGCCCGAACTTTTCCGTTTTCCCTACTTTTCCCAGGGCTGTCCCATTGTTTGACTTGGGTTTTGCGTTTCTGTTTAGCTGCCATCCTCTGCCATTCTTTTCTGCACTTCTGACTGTGTGTCTTGGGCTCGCCTACTACACTTAGTTTTCCGCTTTTCCCCCTAGGTTTTTCCCCATAAAGTCACGGTGGCTGACAAAGTTGGCGTTAAAATCGCCATAATTCATCGTTTCAATGGCATTGTGTGTGCTTCCTGGGCACCCAATCTCCTCCAGCACCAGCACCAGCACCAGTTCAGCTGACAACCGGAAGTGAAGTTCATTTTCGGACATTGCAGGGGCAGTCGCAAGACATTGGTTAAACTGCAAAAAAAGGAAATTATTCGCAATTTGCATGCGCCACAGGGAGGGTGATGGCATTGCGATTTCACTCCGCCCCCTTCTCAATCCGCTGAAATTTATTCGGGTTTTCCTTCTTTTTTTTTGCCCCTTTTGCCAGCTTTTGTTTTGCATTCCGCTGGCTGCAATAGAAACGTTGACAATGACAGGCGACAGCGAAACACGCGAATGCGAATGCGAAACTATAGGTTTCCCCCTGGCCGCCAGCATTTTATTTCAATTTCGAGACATTTCACTTTGATTTCTGAATTTCGAGCATTATTTTTCTGGAGGTCTTTGCCGTTTTTCCCCCCCCCAGCGAAAGCACCAAACAGAAGCGCAAGCAAAAGGAAATGCTGTGAATGTGCAGCGGTTGCCATTATATTTTCAATTTTTCGTGAACGCAACTAATTGGAGCTTTAGCAATTTTTGCAACAAAAAATAAATGTTTTTTTATAGTTCTTAACGTTTGCTAATATCACAGAAATTTAAGTCAGTTTTCCGTCTCTTTGCTTTAACGATATTTAACTCCATGGCTGTTTCAAGTTTTTATCTAAATGTTTTGTGTTCGCAGTATCCTTAAGATCAGACTGAAAATTTAAGGATTATTTATAAAATATAAAAGGATTTTAAAACGTGGGTGTGGTAAATAAATTATGGAATTTCTAAAGATGCAGTAAGCTGCTTAAACATTTTAAATTGCTTAGCTGCAAACATTTGTAAGGTTTAAAGAAGTGGTCCTATTGAAATTAATTATAAATCTGTATGTCATAGGAGGAAATTAAGTTTTTATTTTGATTGATTCTCATCTTTGAGTACGTCTATATGTGCAAATCGGTTAATATCCATTTGTTTATGCCTACAAAATGAAGTTGGTAAAAAGAAAACTGTGAAATATAATCAATTTTAAAGTATTTCTTAACTTGTCTGGAAAATTCCTTCTTTTTTTCACCAATTTTGGCCATACTTCGACCCAATTCAGTTGCCATCATCCATGACCAAACACTTTTCGAGACCCCGAACTTTAATGTAATTTAAGATGAAGTTGGGGATGGGGATTATAATGCGGGGCGTCTGGTGTCTGAGGGTGTACTTTGCGTATTACAAGTTTTGTGCTGGGCCAGTTAATAGAGCGTTTGAACATCTATCTGGCGATACTCTTTGTTCTCGGCTGTGTGGCACTAATAAACCGTAACTAAAGGCGCTTTGCCGGGCCGAGAAGAAGTTGCCCCATGGACCTCCGACTGTTGTTGTTGGCTTCTTGGGGGCGTTTTGCAGCGTCATTTGGCGCCATCCGCCTGGCTTGAGCCCCCTTTTAACCGCCCCTTCTGAGCCAAATAAGCTTCATTTAGAAACTCACGATGCTACACAACTTTTGCTGCTAAGCTGCACTGAGGTAAAAATGTTCTTCCCATATTTAATGAGAGGTCATCTTGAAGAACATGAAAACTTTGAGTTAAGTTTGGATATTTCATTCGTATTATAGACTGGAAAATTAATAAATATTGAAAATAGTCGCGTAAATGTTAAATAATGTAACATATTGCAGTTAAACCCAATTTTATTATTACATTCTGTTCAGGAAATAGTCATTATTAAACAAGTTAAACAAATCAAAAAAAAAAAAAATCAATAAAAATATATATTTTTAACAATTTAACTGGATTATAAGTTGATAGATAGTGATAATAATTTTAAAATGTGTTAACAATTTGACTTATTAATATCAGAAACTACTTAAAATCTTTAAAAAAGGTTAATTCCTATAAAGGTTGTACAAGTAATGTAGCTATAAAAATGTTGTTGTTTTATTTTCGCGCTGTGCTTCAACCTCAAACCATAGCAAAGCGAACTTAACTCAACTCGACTCGGCTGTCAGCCATATTTTATACTTAAAATGTCTAAAGTAATTTCATTGTACTTAAGTCTGCCGGGCCCCGCCCATACAGCCCATACAGCCCACACAGCTCAGACCGCCCACACCGCCCCCATCCTTCGGGTGACCTCAACAATTTCCCTTTGCGCCGCATCATCGTTCGGACATTAAGAGGCGCACCGAGTAAATTAAATTGAATTGATATTGCTCGAGCTTGTGAGTGTACTCGAATAAGTCCTACGCACTTACGCATTTACGCATTTCCCTGGCCATTCAATTGGCAAAATTAATTATCGATAACGATAGCCAGCGATAAACGACAGCGATTCAATCACAACTACGGGCACACTCCCCCGGAACCGGACTCTCGGAGTCTGATCAATTATGTAGTTGGCCATAAATTTGCCCAGCTCTCGACGGCCTTGAACGCATGTTGTCTTATCTGACGGAAGAGGCATACACAGGTGCACTTGGAAAAATATTTGGTAATTAACTTAAGCCTCTTTGTTTATTTACTTATTTTATTAACGTTTTTGGTCTTTCACTCTAGAGTATATAGAGTGGTTGTCACTATCAATGACTTTATAATTTCTAGTAATATTTCTGTTTCATAATCACTTTTCTCTAAGTGTAGGTAACCACAAATGACTGGCTATTAGGGTATATTGCTTGCCTTGCGTTCGCTTTAATTGCAAATGGCACCGACAGACAGCGTAACAATAAGTGCTACAAATTGTTGTGTGAAAGTTGATTTCTAAGACAATTTCTCAATTTCCTCGCAGCTCTCGATGGTCCAATCTAAATCGCAATTTCGCCCCAGGAACACACACACACACGGCCGAACTCCATTAGTTGGTCTTCATCGGAATTGTGATTGAGATGAAGACGAGGAGACCTGGCCGAAACCCAAAACACACATAAAACACATAGCACACGGAAATAAGCTGCTCAAATGCTTCCCATTGCATTTCTAGTGCTCGTCTTTGGCCCCAGGCCATACTTTGATGTCGCACACTGTCGTTGGCGGGAAAGGAGGGGGTGTGGGGGCATAAGAATTTCCACAGAAATGAAAAGCAATGTTGGTGGCATGGTAGTTTTCACATAGAATTTCTGGGTATCATTAAGGCCAAGGCCAGGTTTTGTCAATCAATATTGAAATTAGTTCATGGAATTTCAAATTATATCAAAAACAAATGAAATTTGATATATTGCCAACTAAATTCTAATAATAAATAATCCTAGTTTTAAATAATCTATATCAATATTTATATCACTGATTAAAATAAAGATGCCGCCCTTGCCATTAAAAAAAATTTGCTCAAATTCGAGACAATCAAAGGATACAAAAAGGATAAACACTCACCTCGAAGCTGACAATGCCGCTGTGATCCTGATCCAGTGTATTAAATACATAGTGCGCATATAAGGTTGGATTGGCTGTTTATGTTGGTTGTGGCACATTTTCGACGTTGTTGGTTAAATGGAAACAAGAGAAGAAAAGCGTTAAATAAGAACATTCCACGGGTTAGCTGCAAGCTGGCAAAAGTCGAGCAATTAGGTCTCCACTAAAGCGGTTCAACTTTTGGAAACATTTTCAAATCAACTCTAGACAAACAAATACACACACACACACACGCATTCAGATGAACATATAAGGTAGCACTCAAACAGTACAAAAAAATGGGATGAAATTTCGAATTTTAAAACAATAATATTTAAGGTTATTAATAAAATATTTCAATTATTAATCTTAAGATTTAATGAATTGCCTTTAATAACAAAGAAATGATTATATAATTTTTAGTTTTATTTTGATACGAAAGGTTTTCAAATATTAATGGCCCTATATACCATGTTTTTCTTTCTGTAGGAAAACGATAATGGTTCGATAGTTGGCCGGCATAAAGATATGAGTTTCGGTGCCCGGTCTTGGTTAACAACTTTTATGTGGGTCGTCTTCGTCTTGGTTGCGGAAAGTTTCGCTTTTGCTTTCAGTTTTGTCAACCGCAAAAGTTTTTCCATGTTTTCGTACGGGTTGCTACAATTTTTTTTTTCTTTTTGGATGTGTGCTTTTTGTCTTTGCTGTTTATCAGTGGAAAAGTCAACATTTTGTGGGACTCAGGGCTGCCGAAAGTTTCCACTGGGGGTTCAAAAGGGGACGGGAAACAGTTTGCAGCTAATTATGCGAGTGTCTCCTGTGTCTACTGATAAGCACTGCTTGGGCACACTGCTTGCAGATATTAAAAAAAAAGTGTTGCCTACTTATGGCGGCATTGTGAGTGGAGGGAGTTTTTCGTTTTGGAACAATTTTCCGGCCTTGCTTGCTATCGCGGCCTCTGTTCTGACTTTCGCCAAGAGCACTTAACGCACTTAGTGTCCCCGCCACCATTTTGCGCTGTCAAAAAATTTCTTTATCTGGCCATCACATAACATTTTGATTGTTGCACTCGCTCACTCACTCGCTCAGCTACTTTTTTACGATTCGCGTTTATGTTTATGACTTGATGCCAAAGTTTTCTGGGTTTATACGTGCACAACGTTTACACCTCTTTGGCAGGACGTCGGCAAGACATCAGTTCATAAAGTCGATTTAAATGCCAGTCTGGCTTAAGGCAAGGGGTCATAAAGCTAAAGTTCAGACCATTCACCAATTTTGTTGCATTTACTGTTTACAGTCGATAACTTAATTTTGGAACAAGTTTACTAACTAGCATTAAGAGGTTATGGCTTAAGTTGTGCTACTTTCGTTATTTAACAGCATACAATGTATTAAGCATGTTATTGAATTAAAATGTTTATATTTATATTTAGAAATCTTTTTTGGTTTAAATTATGTTTGTTTTCATTGTTTAGGCCGTCTGCCCAGTCATCGGTGCTTGAACTTTAAACTTTGCAACGCCTTTAAGCCGCGAATCGTACTGTACCCACGTACATCGCGAGTGTATAAATTTATTTGTCCAAATTTATTGTCGCCGTTTGATGCTTAATGTGTTTTTATGACGCATGACGCAAAGTGCCACGCCCACAAGGTCAAAGCTCAATGGCAAAGATGGCATCTGCTCCTCCTGTTTTTTGCGCTCTGCCAAATCAAAAATGACTGCAAATGTGCCATGTAAAAATTCTTATAAAATTTGCGCAGAAATTTGCCAAAAGAAGAGCGGCGCGAAAAACAAAAAAAAAACACAAAAAAAATGTAACGAGGGGAACGGCAAAAGTGATAAATCACCAACTTTGATGGTGTTTTTTTTTTTTTTTTCATCTGCCGCGTGCGTGAATGAATGTGTGTGTGAGTGAGTGTGTGGCAAAGCAGCTTATCAAAATAAAAAATGATTTCATTATTTATTTTTCATCAGATAACGGCAGACATGATGAAGAATAAGAGGCGTTTACAGGAGTGGGAGGAAATAAGCCCGATGTTTACTGGGAATTTCTTGTTTCCGTTTCCGCCTGTCGATGGGCGAACGCTAGTCACCATTGTCGCTAGTCAAAATAAGTTTATTATAATAATTCAGTGTCCCAACATGTGTAGCAATAACTTTTCCGCCGGTTCTGGATTTGGGCGGTATTACAAATGTGGCCTAAACAGAATTTATGGCCCTTGTCTAGCCGGCTCCTGAGGTGTGAATGAATACGCCCACCGATTTGTAGCATTCAAAGACGGTTATGGCGAATGCCGAGCAAAAGCGATATCATTAAGTCAAAACCAAAAGATTCAGTCAGTTTGGTAAGTTATTTTAACAAAAAGCGCACTGTAATTTGTTAAAGCTAAAGATAAAACAAAAATCAGCTTAGTTTAAGTTTTAATAAAGAGAAACATTTTAAATGTTTTTGCAATTTGAAAATTGCTTATTAAAATTATATTTTGCACAACATATATATATATTTGAATTTAAAGCCTGAACAATAATAATAACCTAAGGTATTTTCTTTTCTTTAATCAATCACAACCCCTCATTTAAGTTTGTCCACTTTGAATGGCTTAAAAACAAATCCCAATTATAATGCCAACGATTTGTCACATTTAATCTAACAGAAAGAAGTCGAAAAAGTGTGATTTTGCTTTTAACAAAATTAGCTACAAAATGGACATAATATTTTCGGTGAGTAATCAACCCTTTCCCCACGGTTTCTTTACATTTTTCTTTGATATTTTTGTTTGGCAACGAACCCTTATCCCGAAATCCCAGCCCGCAGCAGACAGACCCTTGGCCGCAGTAATCTATCAGAAATTCAGTTAGCCACCGGCCACTGAAAGAATCCCATCTCATGCCAACCCCTTTTATCCTCGGTCTCATCTTCAGTTTCAGTTTCAGTTTCTGCTTCAGCTTTAGCTTTAGCTTTTGCAGATGTAAATGTGAATTGTGCACAAGCAAAAACCAGCAAAAAAAAAAAAAAAAATGTAACTTGTTGTTCAAACGAGGTCAAGTGGGTGGTGGCTTGGCTGCCACGCCCCCTGCGCGACCGCGACTTGTGAAACATGATTTTGCTTTTTATGCTTTTTTGCTAATTTACTTTCTGCATTTCATATTTTCCCAAGCCAAGGGCCAGTTCCGACCGGCCAAACAAAGAGTCGCCTTTTTGCCAGGCTGAATATAGCCCAGCACCGCCATCAGCATCGTCATTAGCATCATCCTCATCCTCATTCTCAGTCTCAGTCTCAGTTCTAGTTCTAGTCCCAGCCCAATCCCCATCATCATCATGATATTCGGGCTTTCCCCAATGATCATCACCAACTCTTTGGGTCATACAGTTTTATCAATGGCTTTTGCCTTAAGTTGACTTTTTTTGGCCACGGGTAAGATTCGGCGGGAAGTCTCCAGCCAATTGCCATTTGTTTTGTGGCCCTTTACTAATCGTAAACCTCTTTTTCATTTTCATTTCTATTGCCATTCGAATTCCGCTTTTCCGTTTCCGCTTTCCTCTCTTCAAATTCACATCGATTGGTGTTAAGTGAAAAGAACGTTTTGCAGTATCTAAATCTAATGGAACTACATAGCTGTTGGTATTTGAAAATATTTTGCCTTAATTGGATGTGTGAAGTAAAAATGTTTGTAGGAGTATTGAAAAAATAATATATAATACCAATTGTTTTCAAAAATGTTTAGATATCCAGGTGATACCTGTATTGAAATATATTTTCCCTTACTTGGGAAGAATGAAGTAAAAATGAAAACTAAAAAAATAAAAATAAAAATATTATTACAAATGTATTGATTTTTAGGTCATACCTATGATATAGACTTAAAAATTAAAATTGTAAAAATAAATCCATGATGATGACTCACACACACATTACCGCAAACAACAAAGTAACACTAACACAAACACAACAAAGTACTAAGTACTAAGTTAAGTCAACAATAAATGCTAATTTAGTTAGTTAGACACTAAACTGGAACGCAGAACACACATCTAGATCGATATCTATATCTGTATAGAGATCGAGTTCGATATCGATAACGGGATGTTGCAACTCGAACTACACGATGTTTTGTTTTTGGTGGTGACTGTACTGTTTGGCTAGCGCAAGCGCTATCGCTATTGCTATCGATATGCAATTAAAATGGCGCTAATGCAAATAAGAGCAACAATACAGTAAGGCAGGCGTTAGTAATCACTAGTCAAGTCAAAAGGGTTAACGAAACAAAGTATACTGTACCGCACGAACCTCCCTGTGGAAAGAACTGCGAGTAGATCACTTTGAAGGTGTCCTCCTTGACGACGCCCGTCGGGCACTCAGCCTTAAATCCCCGGTAAATTCGTTTGATCTCGTCCTCCGTGAAGCGGGTGGCGCGGCTCAGCGCACTTAGCGAGTCGGGCCTGTACCGTGCCGGCGTCTCGAACTCCTCCAGTTCCGAATCTGCAAAATAAAGCGAATGACTTAATTTTAGTTTGCTAAGACTTAAATATTTTGTACACTTTGATATGGTCTTAGTTTTAATAACTTTCACTCTTCTTGTTCTGTTTTTAAGTCCTCTTTAAATGAAATGGTTTGTATGCAACGTCTAGGTATTAGAAGTTTATAAACACAAAAATTGATAACTAAGCGGTGTTAAAAAAAGATTTTTAGATTTGTGTTCTAGCTATGTTCTAGATTACAATAGCAAAAACTTGTAAATTTAAATAAAAGTAGAACAAAATTGTAATAATAAGATTATTAAATATAAACCTTAATTACTTTAGTCATATTTAAAGGTTAAGCAGTAGCTTTCTACTTCAGCTTTTAAGACTTTTCTACCCAAACACAAAAACTCACGAAATATTAAGTCTTTTAAATTTGCCACAGCAGCTGTCTGATGTACGGCAAATCCACAAGCTCCACAGCATGAATATGTTCGTAGCCTTTGGGGCATGTCCTAGTCAGGCCTGCTATTGCCACGAAACCCCCCTAGAAAACCCCTTGAAAGTCCTTCCGAAAACTCCCCGTTCAGCACCCCTCGTTTGCCCCAAAAAAGCGACACACGCGATTCTGATCTGTTGAGTCGCTCGAAGTGTTTGAATTGACTTGCCAGTTGCCTTAAGTATCTTGTACTTTGCCTGTCGAAAGTTTTCGCTTCTTTTTCGAGTCACCTTCATGGGCGGCATAAGGGTGGTGTCAAAAGGGGTGGAGGGGGGATGGAGAGGGTTATCAGTGGTTGCCCTTAAAAAAGGTAAAAGGCGCTTGAATTTTTTGTTCCCTCGGTCTCACTTTGACTTCGGCGTCGACGTGGTTTGCTTTCAACGGTGAGTGGCAACAAAAAATGTTCTTTGTAGCGAAGACGCCTCAATTTTAGTTAATTAAAAGTTTTCACCTCACACACACACACACACACGCACAACGAATTTTTTCGGCTGCACTTTGAATATTTAATGGCTTACTTCTGGAAGAGGAATAAAATGGGAAAATGTAAAAAGTTTCAAGATATTAAAGACTCATTATTAGATATTGAATGAGTCAAGTCAAGGTCCAAGGAAATTGTAAGCAACTTTGAACTAATATAACAAACTAATAGTTTAAATATAATAGTTTAGATATATTTTTAAACAACATTTAGACTAAATTTGTTTATTTACATTAATAAAAAGCCAATAATCAAATAATGTTTGAAACAAACATTAGTTTAATATATTGTAATCATAAAATCCTACGACTGTTAAAACAGTAATTTTTTTAATGTACATAACTATCTTAAATTTAAGTTTGAAATTGTTTTGTAGTGTATATGCAGTGGAATGCACACATAGAGAAATTTCGGGGAGTTGAACTCACGCGCTTGACAAATGGCTTCTTAAAAATGCATGAAAGGAGGCAGCAGCGGAAAACGGGAGGAAAATTCAGTGGGTTATGGGGTACGGAAATTTCACTTGGCAAGGGCGTTGAATTGTTGGCCATGCTAAGCGTCCAAAAACCAGGTTTCCACCTAGGAACAAAAAGAGAAAGGCAGGGCGAAAGTAAAGGGTAGAAAAGGGCAGGGGGAAAGTGGGAGGTGGGAGGTGCGAGTTGGGTGGCTGGTGGTCGCTACATTTTAGTTTGCAGTCGACGGCCTGCAGTTGTCGCTGCCTTTGGCGTTCGTTTTTAATTTGCTCGCTGGCTTACGCCACACACACGTGTGCAAATGCATTTCCATTTTAGCCAAAATTGGAGAGTCAAAGTCGAGCTTTTATATATTTTATTTCTATTTCGCACTTACCCACCACCCCGGGCTGGAATTTAATCAAAAACGAAAAATCTGAAGGCAAACAAAGTAGCCTTTGACAAATTAAAAAATTTTAACCATATCTGTATGGGGTTTCAGTGAGCCAGCAGCATACAATTTCTCATAGTTGAACTAATTTACTTCAATCTTTGGCTTTCTTTTTGGGTTTTTTCCTTGGTCCTTTACTGACACTCACTTTGTCTTTTTATGGCTTCCTTTTTATATCTTGTTCTCATTCCCATTTCCATTTCCATTCCCATCTTTTCTCTTGTTACACTCGAGTGGATTTGCATTCGCATTCATTTGGGGTCTGCGTTTTATGTCTCTGGCATCGTTTGCATCTTTCTCACATTGTGAGCAAAATGTTGACGAAATGCATTAAGTCTAATATATATTCATGTGCAGCTGGCATCTGACGCTTTGTTTGGCTTTAATTTACCAAAAGTTTTCCCTCAATTTTTCTTGCTTTCCCCTGCCCTGCCATTTGGCCTCATTTTTTTATTCTCCTCCGCTTTTTTTGGGGGCTCTTTATTATCAGCTGCTGGCGCTGAATTTTCTACGTAAGTGTCTAAATTATTTGTGCGACAAACAAAACGGTTTGTGTTGATGATGCGACAGCTGTTGGGCGAAAAACAAACGAAATTCTAACAAAATAAATCCCAAAACAGCGCCCAAATGCAGGCAACGCTTCTTTTTGCGGCCACTGCTTGCTAAACAGGGTGAGCGGATGTGAAAGCAGTGCATGTCAGACCGACTGCAAATGTAAATTTATCAGATAGCTGAGATTTATTTAACTGGTGATTAGCCAGCGAACAAAATATTAGCTGAAATGACAATTTATGTGGGTTTTTTTTTTAAATTCTAAAAATAGGGATTTATTTGGATTTTATACGAAAATAATCTGTGAATGGCTTCTCTAAAAATTCAAATGCTGTACTTTCAAAAATGCTGTACTTTAATAAAAAAAGGTAGATAATAATACGAAACCCTAATAAAATGTAATAGACTTAATAAAATATAAAAATTATTTTAAAAGTAATATGGCTAATATTAATATCAAATAGTGCAAGCGATTACCCATTATTGTTGTAAGCTTGTTTATTATATAAGAAAAAAAGCAGTCTTTTAAAAAAAAGCCACTTATATTTTTAAGTATTTAAAATTATATTTTCCTTACTGAGTACGCGCCTCTTCGAGTGTTGCCCCTAATCGCTTTTTGTGGCTTTGTTTTGGCTTTTATTTCGATGCCACCTGCTAGGGTCAAGGTGTGAAAACACATGCCTCATTTAGTGTGGGTGGCGGATGCTGGGTCGCAGGGCGGAGGGCGTGGCAGCTGTGGTCTGGCAATTGGCAAACATAACAATAAACAAGAGGACGACAGTGGCAGGGCATTTGCGGGCAGTTGGTGCTCGGATTGCCATTGTTGTCCGTGTAATTTCAGATAGGGCACAAAACAACCGAACACAGTTGCAATTGCACTGCTATTCTGCAGAGCCCCGCCCATTTATTTGCCGCCCACCGCCCACTTACCTCATCTTGCATGAGTTCGCATAATAAGTTCCTGTTTATCTCGACTCGGTTTGCGTTTGTTTGCCCAACGCTGACTGCATTCGCTTCTCTTACCCCTTTCCCCCTTTGCCCTCTCTTTTTTCAACCCTCCCCCGTGAGTATGTATGTGTATGAGTGTGTATGTGTGGCTGCCCAGGTGTCATGTTTCCGTTTCCGCTGCAGCAGCAATAGCAACAGCAACAGCAGCCGACAGTCAAGTGCAAATATTTTTGCATGCTGCACCTCACACACTAACAAACAGCTCGGCCCAACATAATAGTGAAGCCAGTAATAAAATAAATAATAATATAAAATATTCTGATAATGATAATTAGAAAGACATATTTACTTATGCAACAAGAATGTTTGAGTTACAAGATGCGCAAAATACAAAAACATTGCCAAAAGCAAAAATTTATTTTGCCAGAAAAAAAAATTAGCTTGAGTCATTTTTTGTTATCATTTGCTAATTTAAGTTGGTTCATAAAATACTATGCTAGTTTTCTAGCTCATTCATAGGAAGCTATTTTATTAATGACATAACATTAAAAAAATGTATGGGTGTGACTTTATTTATGTACATAAGGTAGATGAATATTAAATGAACTGTTTTTTTATTTTACAATTCTCTATTACCCTAGTAAATATTTTAAAACTAAAACTTTACTTGCGATTTTAATTGCGTTCCATAATTTAATTATTTAATTAAATTATTAACTAACACTTGAGGCTTTTATGTCACTCAACCTCTTAATATAGTTTATAATTTTTGTTATAAAATGTTTAATATTTTAAAAATGTTTCTAAAATGTTGGAAAAAAACCACTCCTACTCGTTTGACTGCAATTGTAAGTGCGGAAAGTGAAAACCACAGCCACTACCACCCACTCTTGGGGGTGCGGCATCGGTTTTTATTAGGTATGCGCTGCATTTGTTGTTTCTGTTTTGTTGTGCAGTAAAAATATTTGCTTTCGTTCAATTTCAAGTGTGCGCCATGTCGATAAGTGCCAGCGACTGCAGTTTTTCCAAATGTTTACCTCGCCAACAGCCACGCCCCCTCCTTTGTCAACTACTATAAAAGTGTAAATTAATAAAAAAAATATACATATAATATTACTTGTAGAGTGACAAGGAGAAAGCGTTTTCTGGGCGGTATGCCTTTGAAGATGCGCACTCAATCGAAGCATTCACAGATACTCTCACACACACACACGCACACACATGCAGACATGGAGAAAGCGAAGCATCTCCAAATGCCGTTGGCTGCTTTTACAGCTCTTCTTTTTTTTATCTCTGGTTTTCCGCTTTCTTTCTGCTTTTTTGATCGACAAACCGACAAATAAAAGATTCGTTTGAATATAAACGCTCGCCGCATGCTGAAGAGAATTCAATTTTATGCTGGCCATTGCAGATTTATTGGGTTTTCCCAAGCAAAAACTTTCTTTTGTTATTTGCTATGAAAATAAAAATTAATTGGTGAGTCATGAAAATCGTTGAACATGTCAACTGCAGTAAGAAAATTTGAAATCAGAGTCTTATATACATACAAATGTATAAGTATATTTATATGCTAATACAAACATCAACAAGTCGGTTTTTCAAGGAAAAAATATGATATTATGATAGATTTTATATG